GCGCGTTCCGGGGGTGGGAGCGGGGTGCGCGGGGCCCGCTGGGAGAGGCGAGCAACATGTGGGGCGGCGGAGCGAGGAAGGTGAAATTCGGTATGTGTGTTGGGGAAGAAAGTTGCCAGCTCCTTTCTGCAACCCCCACCCAGTTTTGTTGGGTCCCCGTGTCTTGGTCTCTGGAACGTTCTGTGGGTGGAAAGTGAGTTGCTGTGAACCGAGGAGAAGCCAGTAGGCTTCGGAAGGTTTGAAAGGCACCGCTTTGACCTTTTGTAAAAGTTACTCAAGCGGCGGCTCCGGGATGAGGACGTGGTTTGTTTTTTTTTTTGAACGGCTACAAGCCCTTTGCAAAGAAAATTCCAAGCATGAGAGAAACCTAAGTCCGGGGAAAGCCAATTTTGGTATTGTTACTTAACGATATAAACGCTTTTTTAAACTTGTAATTGGAACGTCGGCTGTTGGCCTGTTGTAATTGTAGGTAAGAGATAGCTGCCTTACACAAATATTCGAGGCTTAATTTCTCTTCTTTCTGTCTTTCTCTTGTGTGCAGTGAGCATCAGCTGACTGCCTGGCTAAAGCTTTGAGTAGATTCCTGATCATACTGTTCTTGCATTGTGAAAACGTCAAACCAGCAAAGCTGCAACTTCGCAACTTGGCACTTGTTAACTATGCCCATAAAAGAATCTTTTCAATGAGGGAAGGAATTTACAGGTTGTATAATTGATCGGCCAGTCTTTCCGGGGGAAGGGAGGGATCTTACTCTGTAAATATTCCGGGTAAAGAAAATGACAAGCGCTCACTTTTTAATAATCTATTCAGTGTCTCTGATCAATGTGAGAGCTTTAAATTGGGTTTTAAATTGACACAGTTACTTTAGAGTATGTCCAACGTTGATGATAAACATTCATTAGGATATTCCAGGCGAATCATGAAAAGTTTTAAAATTAATTGAAGCCATTCTGTTGACCGATTTTTATACTCGTTTTTCATTGGGCAGAAAAAGAAATCAGATTATGATTTTAAACAATGCCAGTTTGTGTTAGGAATGTTATGCCATTTAAATGGTGCAGATTTCAGTGTGTATGTGTTTTGCCAGGCAAAAGAAGGACTGTGAAGTTTTATTTATATCAACATAATTCCAAAATAAACTTTTGAGTTCCAAGTTGATTTCTTTGGCTTTGTTAAAATGTGAAGTATAATAATAGCTCCATTTATTGAGTGTTGAAGCTAGATCCTTTCGTTTCTAAAACAACAAAGCAGTATTTTACAGATGAGAGGTGGAGAGGTTAAGTAATTTAGTAAAAGTAAAGTAGTGGTATTGAGATTTAGATACAAGTCATTCTAATGACAAATCATGGCTCTCGGTAAACTGTTTACATAAAATTGTTTCCATTAATCATTCATTTTCTTTGCGAATCAGTATATGATTTTAAATTTTTCTCCTATGAGTTTTATTGAAAATTAATGTCATTACATATTTGGGGCTGAATATATGATGTTAAAATCAGTGAAAAAACTAAAAAACAACACTGGTCATTTAGCATTTTGTTAACTAATATTTGATCCTTGTAACTTCATGTTATAGGAATTATTCTAAATAAGTGAACCCAAGCTCAGAAGTTTGATGTCTAAGGTCATTCAGGTGTGAATAATGTGGGGACTAAAGTCTGAAGTCTGACTTCTACAACATAAAGCTTTGGCTTCAGAACTTATTTTTGTACTTTCCCCTAAGCCAAAAGTTGTTAATCTGGGTCCCTAGATAGAATTGAGGAAGTCCATGAACTTGGTTAAGGAAAAAAAAATTGCTTATTTTCACTAGCTTCTAATTGAAATCTAAAAATGAAAATTCTTGAAATTTTAATGGATGGAACGAGAAATAATTTCATATCGTATTACAGTTTTAACATAATCTTGTCATTGTTTATGCTCATTACTCTATTATATATAATCTTGTTATTTAATGTATCAGTGAAGCACATTACTAAATTTGAAATTTAAAAATACTTTGATAAATATAATTGGTTTATTTTGTGATCCTTAGTATTTTATATACTTAAGAAGGTAATTCTGAGAAGAGGTCCATGGCACAGGAGAGTTTAAGAACCACTTTACTATAAAACTAAGTTGCATGTGGATCATCTTTGGACTTCTCTAATCTGGGATCTATGAGTCCTCTGCAGTTGTGTTCAAAATCTCTTACTGAGTGCATTTTTCTGGAGAGACTCCAGTTTACTAATTTATAACTGGAATCAGTGGGATATATAAAAGTAATGATAATAGTATAATAATAGTGGTGTGCACGTGTATTGTAATTACTGTGTGTCAGGCCTGTTAAGTGTTTTTGCATGTATGTGTTTATATATATGTACATACATATATATGTACATATATATACACACATATTTATATATACACAACTATTCAAGCCTACTTTTGATGTAGTGGCGTTATCTCCATTTTAGAGATAAACTAAGGCACAGAGAATTTAAGAAACTTGCCTGAGATTGCACAGCCAGTGAATGTTTAAGCTGCAGTTAGGATTCTAAATTACTTAAAAATCTTAATTAAAGATTTTTATGGTTCAGTAGGCAGACAAGGAATCTTATTTTAAAAATACTTAGATGTCACTTTTTTTTAACTTGGTCTTGCAGGCAAATGGCTATATAGACTTCAGTAGTTTATTATTTTTTTCTCACCTCTGTTTTGAAAGGAGACACACTGGCTCTCTGGAAAGAGGTAAAAATATTTGGATAATTCACAAAATTGTCAAACATGTCCCAACATAAATTCTTAAAACAAATTCTGTAAGTTTGAAACAGCTCCCTTCTTTTGGCTACTAGAGAGTTATTTAAATTTTTGAGCACCAAGGAGACAGTTCGCAAATTTTTCATGTTTTTTATGCTTGCTAACATTTTATTCATTTTTCACA